CAATTGACAGGATAATGACTTCACCAGCTACCAAAAGGGATGAGAAACTCGAGAGAAATCAGATGCAGTTTGCTGTATCACATGGAAAAGAAAGGCTATTCAGTTTCCACTTTACCTGGAAATTTGAATCCTGCACCAGCAAACTACCATTCAAGTTAATAGGTAGTTCACCTAAACAGATGAATGTCTGCTCAACTTGCTTGCTGAACATTTGGCACTGACTTCTTAGGAAACCAATGTCTACTACTTCTGTTACTACTAGCGAGGGAGGCTCCTTTCTATTTTAAATATATCATTTAAGAAAAAATCTCGTTGATATATTTATAGTGCTGATTGCTGTGTGAATATCATTTTACTGGCTCAGTGTATAAGAATTTTGGGTGCGATTAAATGGGCCAGTGAGCATTGATAGCTATGACGGCGGTCATTACTTGAAATATGCATGTACAGTGAAATTGAAACCAGCTAAGACTCTTCAAGTGGAAGACTTTATGTCTTGTGCAGGACTTGAGTCAATGCACAGATTTATAAGTAACTCAAACCATCAACAGCCTCTCTTATTGATTGTCTCCCCTGACAACCAAGAATGCTTAGTGAGTAATTAAAAAAAGAGATCAACCGCTTAAAGGTTTTTATGATCAAGCGGTATGCAAATGGTTAAATATATAATTAGAAATAAAAATCTGAAGGTAATCCACTTTTCCCTATATAACTGGGAACAACAGAATTAAGTTTAAATCACCACCACCCAGGGAAAACTTTAGAAAGCAGAAATTACACTTTTAAAATTTATTTAAAATATGTGTTTGCCCATGCTGGCCCAAGTTGATTGGGATTTAATACTAACACATCTGAAGGGCAATAGAATGGGTAAGCGTGGTCTAAATAAAACATGGTGTAAAACCAAGGTCTTTAGTGCTGAGCTGACTAACCAGCCCATAAGGGATGTGGGTGGCGCTGTGGTCTAAACCACTGAGCCTCTTGAGCTTGCTGATGAAGGTCGGCAGTTCAAATCCCTGCCAGGGGGTGAGCTCCCGTTGCTCTGTCCCAGCTCCTGCCAACCTAGCAGTTCGAAAGCACACCAGTGCAAGTAGATAAATAGGTACTGCTGCAGCAGGAAGGTAAACTGTGTTTCCGTGTGCCTTGGTTTCCGTCATGGTGTCCCGTTGTGCCAGAAACGGTTTAGCCATGTTGCCCACATGACATCAGAAATCCGTCTGTGGACAAACACCGGCTCCCTCGACCTGAAAGCGGGATGAGCGCCACAACCCCATAGTTGCCTTTGACTGGACTTAACCATCCAGGGGTCCTTTACCTTTTACCAGCCCATATTATCCACTGTAGCTGTGTGCCTGCTTATGTGTCAATTCTTAGTGTGGTAACCAAACACATAGAATGAAGTTTCATTCTGCCTGCGTGCCAAAGACATGTCCATTAAATTTGCAATTTCTATCCCAATTACTGTATTTTTCGCTCCATAAGACGCACCTGACCATAAGACGCGCCTAATTTTCAGAGGAGGAAAACAAGAAAAAAAATATTCTGAACGAAACAGTGGATGTATGATTTTTTTGGTTCATGCTGTGGCCACAGACATGTGAGCTGATGGTGAATTTGGGGTGATACAATGCAAAAATCCTGAAGATCCATGTGGATCCATGCTTTGTAACTACATTTTTGTGCCACTGCGCCATTTTGGTGCAGGCTGTAGCCAAGGACATGCTATGTGATCTGAAGGTGAATTTGGGGTGACCCAATGTAAAAATCCTGAGGATCCATGGGCTTTTACCTCCCCACTCCCGGGCAGCCTCCACTAGCATCCTTTATCTCTCTTCCGATCCCACCAGTCAGCTGTTTCCTTTCAACACTCCCTTCCCTCTTGTTTGCCTTACGTGTCTTTTCCTTAGCTGGAGCAGTTTTTTGCTCCTCCTTTTCTTCTAATTTCTCTCCTTATTGCTTTAGTCTTCCTGTTTCCCCCCTTTGCAAGTTTGCTGTCTTTACCTCCTCCCTCCCAGGCAGCCTCCTTTATCTCTAGCGTCCCTTATCTCTCTCTCCGATCGGCAAACGATCAGAGGCTTTGTTTCAACACCCACTTCCCTCTTTTTTAAAAAAACAAACAAACATGATCTGCTTTTTGCCCCTGGGCAATTCAGCTCCAGGGACCATGCATTTGCTCCATAAGATGCACAGACATTTCCCCTTACTTTTTAGGAAGAAAAAAGTGCGTCTTATGGAGCAAAAAATATGGTATCCTGCAAGTTTTGTTATATGTTTGATAAGGAACTGAAAGCTGTACTTATGTCTCTGTGGCGACCCAAATCTGTGCTTAAAACAGCTTCACTGGCTTGGGTCATGCTGCTAACCAGCTGGCTGCAATGCACTTCAGGACACTGACACATGGCAGCTGCGGAAAGCAGACCAGTACATGCAGGAGGCTGAGTCAAAATATGCAAACTGTCAAGCTGCACCTTCTCGTTCACATGCTGTTCTTCACACTTGTTGCCGGAGAGCCATAACAATTTACTACAAAAATCTGAAGGGGAGAAATATCATGGCCTATAAAACAGCAGACACGTCCCGAAAAGCTGCTTCGCCCCGTACACGTCGCTTCTCAAACGCAAAACCAAAATGAGCTGGAGTCCTACCAAAGGAAATGTGAGCAGGTGCTCCCACCTGTGCCAGTCTAACTGCAGCCAAAACAATCTCCCCGCACAGTTCACTCTTCCAAGGGAAAGAAAACCCAGACCGATCGTATTCTGGGAGAGGATAGTTCATATCAATGGACACGGACCGCCCTTCCTTCGTGCAACAACTGTGAACTTTCTCCCATTACCCTTAAAATACATTCGCAGGCTCGGAGAGTCCAAAAAAAATCTACTCCAATGTGCCAGGGAGGCACAGCTGTATGAGGGCCGCCTCTGCCGAGAACAGCACATTCCTGGTACTTGAGTTGAGGGAACGGCTGCAAGTGCGATCTGTTACATGGTTCGGCGCGCAATTAAATCGGACGAGGCTCTCAGAGCCTCGCTTTTCACTCACTTTAGCAGCTTACCGCAGGCACTAAATGAACACCAGCGACGGTGGTGACCGCGTAAAGAGAAGCAGGCATCTACTGAAGAACCTTTTCAATGAGTCGGTTACGTAAAAGACAGCGCAGAAGGCTTCACATATTGGGAGCTTTGAAATCCCCTTTGCCAGTTGCATCTCTCTTTTTTTAAATGCTTTTCTAAAAGAACGCAAGGGTTGCCCTGCAGAATCACATGAAAAATCCAGCATTCTGTCTGTAACAGCAGCCAGCCAACAGAGTCTGAGCACTTCTGAACAGAGAATGAAAGTGTGCTGTTTGTCCTCAGCACCCGGCATTCAGTGCTATACTGTCTCCGTACATAAATACAGTGGTACTTCGGGTTAAGTACTTAATTCGTTCTGGAGGTCCGTTCTTAACCTGAAACTGTGCTTAACCACTTTAGCTAATGGGGCCTCCTGCTGCCGCCGCGCTGCTGAAGCACGATTTCTGTTCTCATCCTGAAGCAAAGTTCTTAACCTGAAGCACTATTTCTGGTTTAGCAGAGTCTGTAACCTGAAGCGTATGTAACCTGAGGTACCACTGTATATTATTCATTTACTGTGGCTAGTAGCCATGGAAAGACCCATTCTGTGGGAGGGTATTTCTAAAGAACTGGGAAGATACAGTGTGAAGCAACTCTTAGAACAAGTTCAGGGGAGAGGGGGTGAAATATCACCAGGGGTCTGGAAGTGGGGAGACTGGTAGTCCAGAAACCCAGCCAGATGGGCGGGGTATAAATAATAACATCATTATTATTATTATTATTATTATTATTATTATTATTATTATTATTACCTTACTCTGCACCAAACCATCTGCCCCCTACCATTTATGAAGCTCATGTGCCTGCTCCAACCACACTACAATAGTAATTAAAACCTTTGTTTTAATAAAGCAAGTCGTTCACATAAATGGAATAGACCATGAAAGGATAAAATGCAGTTTTGATGTTTCCTGTTAGATCCCTTGTAGATAATGCAGCACAGACACCAAAGAGGAGTACTGCATTACCCAAAGAAAATGCACTTTTCACACTATGCACTCTCCCAACTCCCCTCTGCCCTGAACGTTGCAACTGATAGAAATCTAGAAACCACTACTACATTTTTCCAGGCACATGCATACACAAACAGGACCCAGAGCAGGAAAATGTCTCCATAACCTTTTTGTGACTAGGGATGGATGGATCACTCTTATTTCTGGTCTGTGTCAATTCTACCGTGTATGCTTATTTGTAAGTCTGTTCTGTCCATCTCCACATTAATCTGCAGATAGATTTTTTAAAAGTATGAAATTCATATTTTAAAAGGTACTTAAATATATAATTACATGTGCATTTTGTCACTGTATGTATTTTGTGATGAAATACATATTTATGCATTCAAATACACATTTTGGTACTGATTACTTTATCTCAGTGCATGCACTTATAAAAGTATCCTATCCTAAAATATGAACTTTTATAAGGCATTTTGGTATGTCTTTTGAGGCAAGAACTATACTGTAAAATTTGACGAAGTGCAAAATCAGAAGGATAATTGTGCTCCAATCCTTATACAGTGGTACCTTGGGTTACAGACGCTTCAGGTTACAGACTCCGCTAACTCAGAAATAGTACCTTGGGTTAAGAACTTTGCTTCAGGATGAGAACAGAAATTGTGCGATGGCGGCAGCGGGAGTCCCCATTAGCTAAAGTGGTACCTCAGGTTAAGGACAGTTTCAGGTTAAGAACGGACCTCCAGAACAAATTAAGTTCTTAACCCAAGGTACCACTGTATGAAGCTGGGAGGTACAAATTAGCTCAGTTTGCTAAAAATGTGGACCAAATTTTTTCCCCTACATCCATATTTGTGACTTACATCAACTTGTTATATCTAAATAATAGTTTTAAATAGTTTTATAATGGTGAATTATGTTATTTTTTTCCACTCACTTTAACACAATATGAGATGCAATTATCTTCATAATGCTTACAGCATCTGTGCCTTGGCCCATGTTTGCATCTGGAAAATAAACACACAAAAATGGAGCCCTGCATCAGTATTAACCACCAAGTTGCTTTTTGCATACCAAACACATAAATGATCTACTTCCACCAAAATGTGCAGAATGTTCTATAGCTACTTCTTCTTTTGTTCAGTGCAAAATAAATTCCTTTACAATGCTTATAAGTGTGAAGCAGAAAAGAATAAAAAATGTAAAAGTACTTAAAGATCCTGTACAAATAAAGGCAAGACCTTTGTTCTAGGGAGAGCTAACACAACTAAGAGATTGAATTGCGAACCAGGAAATCCTCTTTTCAAATCTTTCCTTTCCCATGAATTCACTAGGTAGCCTCAGAACCACACTAAACATTACATTAAATGAATATTCACATGAATGGGGTTGTAAAAATCATCATTATTATTATAAAAAGCCATGGAGGACATTGATCCAGACCAGGACCACGGGACAGGTGAAGAGGCATTTGATCCTGGCTTGATCATTTTACCCATTGCAATAGTTCCATTTAACGTAACAGCCCCCTACCCATGTGGGAAGGAAGCCGCTGCCTGAACCTGGAACTTGTAGAAGAAACAGGATTTTGTGATCTCTGACTTATGCGCATTTTGCACAGAACAAAGTCAGAGGTGAGCCCCCACATCTTGTTCATCTTTACGACTTTGCCCATGTGCTCCATGATGCAACCAGGATTGTGGCAATTGGGCAGTGTGGGCTGCTGGCTGGAAGGCCACAGAAAGGGGGCACAAAGATGATTGGAAGGTTGCATATTCCTCTCTCTAGGCTTAGGGGAAAATTTGTACTCTGCAGCTCACAAGACTTCACTTTTCATGAGCATTACTGCTATGTGGAAATTCTACTGTTGTGGATTTGAAAAAGATAAATGCTTTGGGGAGGGCTCTCCAGTTGTTGGGACATATCAGGTTGACTTACAAGAAAATCAATTTGATGCTGGTTCTAGAAATTAGATTTTCTTGTAGTCAAGTATTTGCGGTTTGAGGACAAAATAACATTACTCAATCTTTCGATTGTGCCAAATATTTTTGGAAGCTTTGAATTATGCGCTGCAAATGCGTATCAGTCATAAATCACCCATGAGGTCAGTTTGTGTAGCAAAAATTGTAATGAGGATGTGATCAAGTTACAGACATTCAGACTTAGTTATATCTGAAAGGAAACATATGGGAGAGAAACTTGATAGAGGATTAGGATTAAGAACTCAATGGTTTTTTTGGTCATATGCAAGTGGGTCGATAGAAATACCAAAACAAGATCATTCTTCTTAATTGTTAATCATTTGGGCCTTTTCTTGAGAAACCCTGGAATGAGCAGTTTCGTTTAGTGGGGTGACTGCATTGCCAGCTTTCGTTATATCTTGTATGTGTCTCAGATGAATTATCCGGACCTAGATTAATCCAGTGATACACCACAATGAGCTCTTCAAACCAAGTCTCCTGAAATTTGGATTCTTGGCCTCTCCTATTCAATATAATTTTCAGGCTTGAGGGACTGTTCTTTGTAACATCATGGGAAAGCCTACAGGTCATATATAAAGGCAATGCCCTGAACCAGAAGTGGTCGGCGTTGCTCCCCTGGCCTCCCTAAGATGAGCATCACTGCTATTTATCTAGGTACCAGGGAGCTCGAGGGAGAAAATGGCCTTCCCAAGGTCCCTGCTGTCTTGCCCCCTCCCCTCATCTCCTTCTTGGTAACTGGCAGCACTGTGTGCCAAGTGTCTGGAACCAAGGCTTCTGGTAGCAGAACTCAGGTGTCACCAAGGTAGCTAGCCAGGGTATGGAGCGGTTGGGAAGTTTTCTGCTCCACTTCAGAGCCACTAGTGTGGATGGCAGAGGAAAGCTAACAGTTGAGTGGAAGGCAGGTACCGTATTTTTTGCTCGGTAAGACTCACTTTTTCCCTCCTAAAAAGTAAGGGGAAATGTGTGTGCGTCTTATGGAGTGAATGCAGACTGCACAGCTATCCCAGAAGCCAGTACAGCAAGAGGAATCACTGCTTTCGCTGCGCAGTGATCCCTCTTGCTGTTCTGGCTTCTGAGATTCAGAATATTTTTTTTCTTGTTTTCCTCCTCCAAAAACTAGGTGCGTCTTATGGTCTGGTGCGTCTTATAGAGCAAAAAATACGGTAACACAAAGCGTCAAGCTAAAATGCTCAAATCTCATTCATCAATGACTTGGCAAACTGGCTGGCACAGCAAATACAAATCCATGAAATTCTACACTCACACTTTGTCCACAAGTTTCTTTGTTGCCGCCACTATGTTCATTCGCTGTGTCATTTCTTCGCTGTGTTTTATTTTTCTCCCTCTCCTTAGAAAGGCTGCTTCCGGTGCAAAAGAATGTGTGGGAATTTCTTCCTTCCCTACAATGAATCTGGAAGAAAAGAAAAGAAACAGAGATGCACACAAGTCACCAGCTACCTGATTTCTGCAATGCCATTTTCAAACAGTGGATTGCAGTTGCCTCTGGCTAGCCTACTGCTGGAGCAATTTTATAGCCATGCAATTCCTTAAAATATGGCATGTTGTCTAAAACTGTAGGTTTTAACGTTCTATTGGAATATAGTATTAAATAATAGTGTTCAGAAAGTAAAAACAAACAAAACAGGTAAACATATTTTATTAACAAAACGATATATAAATGCAGGTGCTTTCTTGAGGCATCTGTTATATTAAGCAATGCAGGAGTCAAGGGCAAAATACCACTGTCCAGAACATAAAATTACCGTATTTTTCGCCCTATAGGACGCACTTTTCCCCCTCCAAAAATGAAGGGGAAGTGTGTGTGCGTCCTATGGGGCGAATGCAGGCGCACCGACCCCTCTCACTCTCCAGGCTTCAGGAAGCTCTCCGCAAGCCTTGGGAGCCCGGCGCGACTTCCCGCCGGGCTCCCAAGGCTTGCGGACAGCAGCCTGCAGCCCGAAACCCGGGGAGCGCAGCAGAGCGCGCCCCGGGCTTCGGGCAGATATCTGCAAGCCTGGGGAGACCGGCGGGAGTTCCCGCTGGGCTCCCTGGGTTTGCGGATAGCAGCCTGCATCCCGAAGCCTGGGGCGCGCTGAGCAGCACGCCCCGGGCTTCGGGCAGATATCCGCAAGCCTGGGGAGACCGGTGGGAGTTCCCGCTGGGCTCCCTGGGTTTGCGGATAGCAGCCTGCATCCCGAAGCCTGGGGCGCGCTGAGCAGCACGCCCCGGGCTTCGGGCAGATATCCGCAAGCCTGGGGAGACCGGCGGGAGTTCCCGCTGGGCTCCCCAGGCTTGCGGATAGCAGCCTGTTCTTGGGGCTGGGGCCCCCTAAAAAAACTAGGTGCGCCCTAGTAATACGGTAACTGATTTGTGTATTTCTCTTCTAGATGTCAGGGGGGGAATTATGCAGCACAGAATGAAAGTACTATAAATGGAAGTAGTATATGTTTTTCATCCCCCCCCCAAAAAAAAAGAGAAAAGGAAAATGAGCAACAAGGCTAGAAATCATGCTCTGCAAAGAGCTTTTGTTTCCTGCATGTCATATTTCCTCCATCTATGTTTGCACATATTTCACTCAATCTGGTCTGATCACTTTGGGCTACAAAGGAAAAACACTTGCTTTGTTTTACTTACTTTAGTGCTGAGAATGTAAATCCTTTCAAGCCATCCTTGCACCTGAAATATAAACCAAACATTTTGGGTGTGGTTAATTCAATAGTTCCCAAATTCACAGAGCAGTTAAACAGCAGAGATCATTTAAAGCACCAGAGTCTTGCAACCTTCTCCTATCCAGGGCCAGAAATCCAGAGCTAAGATGTGTAATTATTTCGTTATTGTTTGCCTTTGCAATTTTTTTAATGAGAACGTGTGCAACATAAACTGAACCAAACAGAATTCCCTCCAGACGACCAAAAAGCAGCTTATGTAAGCTTTGGCAAAAGAAAGAAATGCCTCAAGCCCAGCAACGGAAAAAGCCAGTTTGGTTTCCATTTCGACACTTGCCGAGAAGTTCTACCCTTCTGCCAGCAGATGTCCCTGATCCGCAGCAATTCAAAAGTCTGTTGCATATGCCAAGAAGTTAACCAAACAAGTAAATCTGCTGCTGGCAAAGGAGGAGCAAGAGGGGCAGACAGATTTTCTGTCGGTCAAGCGCCAAGGGCAGCTTCTCATAATGCATTTCATACTCAAGTGCAGATGGCAGCGTACATGGCCACGACACCAGTGACCCCATCAGCCAAGTCACATCTGAGTGGTGCAAATAAGTTTCCGACACAACTTTCCCCTTTAAAGGACACAGAAGCAGCAGCCTTCTAAATGGACTGGCCATACATTAATTTGTACCTAATAAATGCTATGGAGACTAGCCACGTAAATATTTCAAAAAGAAGATAACGCTGTGACTTTTTTTTACCATTGTTATAAGAAAAAAAAACTTATCCTTTTCCCTTATGGGGTACCCAACAGCCCATATAGAGTCCTTATGTAGGTTCTCTATCGGTAGGAGAAAATAACAGAGGCCAATCAGAGAATATTGAGAAGCAAAGCAGCTAGTAAGCCTGATCTTTATTAAACTGTTGCAACAGGGTCCTCACACACACACACCCCATGCAGGAAGGAGGAACCCAGAACAATAGTGTGCAAGCCCATATATGTTGTTGTTGTTGTTTAGTCATTTAGTCGTGTCCGGCTCTTCGTGACCCCCTGGACCAGAGCACACCAGGCACTCCTGTCTTCCACTGCCTCCCGCAGTTTAGTCAAACTCATGCTGGTAGCTTTGAGAACACTATCCAACCATCTTGTCCTCTGTCGTCCCCTTCTCCTTGTGCCCTCAATCTTTCCCAACATCAGGGTCTTTTCCAGGGAGTCTTCTCTTCTCATGAGGTGGCCAATGTATTGGAGCCTCAGCTTCAGGATCTGTCCTTCCAGTGAGCACTCAGGGCTGATTTCCTTCAGAATGGAGAGACTGGATCTTCTTGCAGTCCATGGGACTCTCAAGAGTCTCCTCCAGCACCATAATTCAAAAGCATCAATTCTTCGGCGATCAGCCTTCTTTATGGTCCAGCTTTCAAGCCCATATATAGACTTCTGAAATTGCCACCCTGTACCTCAAGACCACACCCAATACATCATACATACATCACAGAAGAGGCGGTCTACAGCAGAAAACCTGTCTGCCAGGATACCCACTGATTGCATTACTTGGGCAGTCTGGCCATTCCTTTTGAGATACTAAATACTGAGTTCCTGAATCCAGGTCACAGGCTCACCCTATTCATACAGATACATCCTTAAGACAGGATTTGTGAGCAAAGAGACAATGGGGAGGTTTTCCCATTTCCTTTGTCCTTGCAGAGAAACATTTGAGGTCAATTTGGGAGAGTCAAAATGGTTTCAGGACTTTTTTCCTGTAGTGTTGCAGACATGTGGTTTATATATTTATGTATGTGTTTACCTGGTACATTTATGAACATTTATATCTTAGACCTTATAATTCTCATAATACCAAGAGCATTAAAAATACCAAAAAAATCACAGATGTGGTACATGCAATCTTTAATAAAAATTCTTTATTTATTTTTAAAATGTGGTACATGCCACTGGATGGCTCAGTTGGTTAGAGAGTGGTGCTGATAATGTCAACATTGCATGTTTGATCCCCATATGGGACAGCTGCATATTTCTGGATTGCAGGGGGTTGGACTAGATGATCCTCTGGGTCCCTTCCAACTCTACAATCCAATGATCTATGAATGCCTAGCTAAAGAAAGTTTTTGCAGGACATAAACCTCTCAAGCGTTCTAACAAGTAACATTCAACAAGTAAGGAAAGGGGGGGTGTAAACACAGTGTGAGTAAACTCTGCACACAAAACGCTCCAGTTGTGATTCCAGTTGACACCATTATGCGTTTATCTGTAGCCTGTCCCATGTAGTACAACTGGCAGTATGATCTGAATCTGGGGAATTTTTGCTACAAAAGGGTGATAAGGGTGCTTTCGTAGGATTTGCCTACCAGAGGTAATCAGCATGCTACTAAGGAGAACGATTTGCCATGGAACCCAATATAATTATTAGTTTTAATAATTCACAGAAGAAGCATATTTATTGTGGCAAATGCAGCTGTGGGAAGGGCCTCCAAAACTCATATCAGATGATCTGTTTTAAGTTTCTGAGCACAAGGTCATGCAGAATGGAACTGGTTTCAGACACACACACCTATTTGTTTATTTTATTTTTATCAGCTGCTTTTATATAGTTGCCCCAAAATGTGTGTTATCTGGGCAGCTCAGCTCACAAAGCAAAAAACAAAACAAACTTTCATAGAATGTATTTTAAAATGAAGTTTTATTGTTCCCCATCCTGATATCTTAGCATAAAGGTATTTCTAAGCAAATAAAATACAGTTTAAAACCAATTAAAAATATTTTAAAATCTGTTTTAAAAACCAGAAACAAAATTTTAAACTCAATGCAAACTCAAGGGAGCGGGCTTGAAGGGTATCTGATCTAGGGAAGGTGATGAAAATCAAGTTAGCTCTTAGGAATCAAGGAACACTTGCACACAAATTGGTACAGGTGTTAATCATGTAGTTTTATAAGGTAAGCAAATGATATTTTTATAATAGAAGGCTTTCTGGGGAGAGCCACCATCACAATTCTAAGGAGAACAGAGGGAAGCCATGAAAGAACTGACTTGAAAGCCATTTCCATGCGCTCTGCATCTGTGACCTGAGCTCATAACATGCTGCAATCAACCTTTAAATAGCTGTTAGCGTGTATCATGATTTTTCTCTCTCAGCTGTTTGGCACTATCACCATCACACCTTAAGTCATCAGAACATTTGGCCTCCACTATGATAAGTGTGTGTACTTCACAGACTTCAAAGCGAAACGGTTCATTTCGAGTCCCCAATCACTTGGTTAATAAACATTATACTGCAGCTGCCTAGAAATATAATTCCCATGTTTCAAGGAACACAACAAAGTTAGGGAATTACTGTGTGTATAGGGGGTATAGGAGAGATTGCTTTGTCTTGCAGCATTTTAAGTCAAAAGGGTAACAATTCTGGATAAGTTTAAACCGACAAAGCAAATTCTACTCAAGGGTATTATTTCATGCTCATTCTGAACCAAAATGGTTAAAAACACACTTCCATAACATTCTCAAAATCATGTGCAACACTCTCAAGTCCTGTTCATCCCCTGACCATTAAAACGAGACACAATCATGTTGCGGGCATGATGTTCTGCAACATACAGTGGTACCTCGGGTTAAGTACTTAATTCGTTTCGGAGGTCCATTCTTAACCTGAAACTGTTCTTAACCTGAAGCACCTCTTTAGCTAATGGGGCCTCCTGCTGCAGCCGCGCCGCCGGAGCACGATTTCTGTTCTCATCCTGAAGCAAAGTTCTTAACCCGAGGTAATATTTCTGGGTTAGCGGAGTCTGTAACCTGAAGCGTATGTAACCTGAAGCGTATGTAACCTTAAGTGTATGTAACCCGAGGTACCACTGTATTTTCTTGGAAGAGCACCTGAATGCAATATACCCTTGTAATGAAAACGAACTTCAGAAAGGCTCTGTACTACATAACTTCTGAGTCAGATACCCTGAGCATCTGACAAGCAGGCCAGCTTCACTACGCTCTTTTTCCTATTTGCATATTAAGTGAAGCAAAAGAGAAGGAATCATGAAGTTGCAGGACTCAAAGGAATCCGAAGGTCACCTGAGTTCATGCTCCAGCACCAAAAGCAATTAGCATCTGGGCAAGGATTTGAAGAGAAATAAACTGGCAAAGGCAAGAAGCTATTTGCTGAGGCGGCCCTCATTCAAAAGCAGAAAGAGGGGGAGGAAGGACTCTATTCAAAACAGAGTAATCTGTGGCTGTATAAGAACATTTCCGAAAGCAGGAACAACCCTTGCCCCGAGTTAGCAGAGCTCCCCTTTTACTGAAGCCAGCTCCTGCCCAATTTGAGTCTAGCCGCAAACCAAGACTAATTATTCTCGGGCTGTGCATGTAGGCATACCTTCCCCCCACCCCATTGTGCAGAAAGGCAAAAAGGTCTCCACACCACATCGTAAGGCTAAATGTCACCAATTAGGTTTCTAATTTTTTTGATTAGTGTTTCTTGCTGAAAGTCTCTCAAAGGTTCTCATTCAGAGGCTGACTGATGATCTTTCCACAAGGGCCCTGCTGATGAGGTTTAATTACTATAGTTTTGAACAACAATCACCACGTGTAATGAAAATAACAACATCCAAAGTTAACCCCCAGAGCAAAAGCAAATGAGGAGGAAAGGGGAAGCAACTTTTCTTATAGAAAAGCTGGTCATTAGAGCGCACACAATTCTAAATGTGTTCTATCTTGCATATAATGAATTGGATCCAGGCTAAATTAGTTGCACTTAGGTCCCACTGAAACCAGAAAGACCTCGCTTAGGCATAGCTACCTTTTCACACCGATGTCAACGGGACCCAAATACAACTAAGTCGAAATCCAACCTAAACTTTGCATTTCTGTTTTATTAGAACTGATGAAGTAGGACAGGGGCAAGGAGATTTTGTACGCAATGATGTCACATCACAAAGAAGGATGTTACAGGGGGAAAGTCTTTCCTTTGGCATTTTGGTCTCCTACAGCATGGAATTTAGGATGGAGAACTGTTACCGTATTTTTT